TGGTTGGTTAGCGGAGGTACAATGTGTCATAAACGGTAACAGGTGGGAATGCTTACTTTCTGACGAAGCAGTTCCTGGAACCACATTCCCAAACGGAGGGCGAAAGTGTCTGCCTGTTGCTCCCAATCACACAGTCCACTGAGATCTGGTTTCGGAATGGAGGACATGAGGACGGAGTAGATAAGACAAAAATGAAATCAAAACAGGGGAATAGGTAAGAATGATAATTTAATAGACAGGAAGAGTGTGAGAGAGAGAGAGAAAGAGAGAGCGAGAAGGGAATAAACTGAGAGCACAGTAGTTTAATGGGGTGTGTGCGTGATTCATCAAGTAATAAAATGTANACGGTGAACAATTTTATTATGTTTCTGAATGAAAGAAGACAGGGGTCATGCAGATTGGGAACTGACAATAACAACCGTGGGATCGAATTAAACTTTTGGCATTTTGTTTGAGTTTCCTTAGGATGTATCCGGTGGTGGTGGTGGTGGTATTGGTGAGATTGATGTTTCTGGGGCGGGATAGGTTGCTTTTAGAGAATAAAGTTTTATTGCTTGTTTTGCTACAATTTTTGATTATGATGAGTTCGTTCTGCTCAATCGGATTCCAATGAGGATTCATTTCCATACAAAAAAGTTGTTTACGATATCATCGTGACCGTCAAGTGCATATTCCTGATAAAGGAAAATGAACCTAAGCTAGTGATGGCCGATACAAGGAGAAGTGTCACAATGGGGAGAAAGTTGTCGGGATTTGTTCAAAATTGACCAATATTCCAGGCAAACGAAAAGATCATAAATTTGCCGATCAAGTTGAGAGAAGCTTGTCCACTGTGTTCAGTGGTGATTGTCAGCTGATTAAATCCGAATCGAATTCGGAGTGTTGAAGGAACAAAACCTAAAAGCCCAATATACTCAATCACCAGCCGGATGATTGAACCGAATATTGGCAACCACATAACGTGACTGAGCGCATTCGCGCGAAATCTTGGAATGCTGTGACAAACCTAGACACGAAAATGTGAATCTGTTTTCCCTGACGCGAGTCATTTCGAGATTTTTGACCAGTCTTGTCTTATAACATGATCAAACCGAAGCACAATCGTAGAAACCGAAATCCCTTTGGTTCCATTTATTGACCATTTTGACCGTACACAATCGAGCATGCGGTAACACTTGTATTTACTTCGAACGGATCAGACACTAATGCACACGCACATGATCGATTTTGCTAAATTTTTCCCCAAACATTATTCAATCAATAATTTTTGCCCTTTCATTGACTTTTTAACTTTAATGCGAATTCGCTTTTATAAACACACTGGGATAATTAATTAATTAATTAATTAATTAATTAAATAATTAATCCTACGATGCACAGTTCGGATTGACCGAAATTTCCTACTCCGTTGACTAGCCTCCCGCAAGACGAGTTTTGGAAATCGGGATAAATAGTTCACTCAAACGCGCATGCACCTACATGCACGAAATGTTATGCTCGTTTAGAAGTTAGTGACACTGGATAGTCGAGACTGCAAAAACTCACTGGGGTTACTTGGGTAATAAAGACCCGAATGAAGAACAAGTGACCCATGGAGAATTTCTTTTGTTCAGAAACAGACACATGGCTGCAGGTCAGAGTGATACATGTTTTATGAAAGCTCAACAGCTGTATAACGAAAACGACTGAAGATTTTATGATAAGCACACTCTTATCCAGTGACTAGACTACACATTTGTAAACAAAGAGCATTTACAATAATGGACCGCTTGCTGAGTTATATATGATGATCTTTGACCATAATAGCAAGCGTAACTTTCGTTTTGTGTAATGTTCCGAAGTTTAAGTACTATAAGGTTTCTGTGCGATCGAAATGAGTATATCAGACAGATCAGAGGTCTACTGATTCTGGATCTAAAAATATAGATCAGAGAGGAAAACCAATCGTGGTTCACATCACCGGAATCTCTGAGTCAATTTCATCAAAAGAGACTTGAAGTATCACCAAGACAAACTATTATTCAAACAGCCTATATGCACACCACTTGCCCTAATCTGCTGGGTTTGATTAGGTCTACAAGACCGATTGTGAACGGAATATTACACTGATACGGATGCGTAAACAAACAGGTGAAGCCGAACCAACTGATTACAGCACGTTTTGTAGTGGATGTGTGGTAGAAAGAATGATACACAATAAATTGCCAACCAAGCGATGATAACCACCACTTTGGAATTACTGTGACGCAAGACAGTGGCTTTGATCAGCATTCACACCTACGAGTTAGGAGATCACATACAGTTGCAAACGATCAGATTTCAATCGCCAAGCGTAGGTCTTTTATTTCCACGAAAACGTTTCTCGAAGAGCTATGTGATCGTCACTTCGCGTCTGCCCATAAAGATCCTGTCAGATTCAGTTGGACCATCAACTTTGAATTGTCCCCCTTGCCATTCGGAATGCCGAACTCGGCTTGCAAGTGGTATCCACTTCGGCAAAACTACCAAACACACAACTCAAAGGTTTTCTAACTGATCCAAGTCCCAAACAACAAGTGGCTAGATAAGCTCATTGCAATTCTAGCTGGATGACTGGACGAGTTCAGTTGTTTCTCAAAGTGAGGATGAACCTTTCGCGGTTGAAATGCGGACGAAGTGAACCGAACTCGCTACAAAACAATTTCATCACATTATAAGCTTCCGACGGCGGAGAGAACGAATTTCGGGAGAAAAACACTGAGACAAAAAAAAGAATGTTACTCTGCTACATGCGATTTGCTTCGTTATGCAATATCGTTCAGTTTCAGTTTATGGCCGTGCATTTTAGCGCGGTGGTCTCGGTCGCTGTTATTTTGGCTGTACAGTCGAATACCAGACCAGAAGGGAGAATTGGAAAACCGGGAATAACATCACAGACAAGATACGGAATCGCAAATTAAACTCCATTAAGTAGATGCACGAACACTATGGTGTTTAGTAACAATCATACTACCCACTATTTAAATCATCAACTAGACTGACTCCGAGGCCCCCAACCGGAAAGCCTAACGTGACTTATGTGACCCAGTCTCTAGATTCGGGTATTCAAACTCTGAAGCCAGGATTTAGTAAGATCACCTTTGCTCTTTTTCCACTCACTACTTGTCTCAAACAACTGAATGTAGCGACGGCCGTAGAGATGTCACAATTTGGCAAACGCTAACCAACCGTTCTGTGTGTACGCTGAAACTTCATTTCAGATATGTCCAACAAGTGAGGTTGAGCTGCGAAATTTTTCTACCTTCTCAGTTGCCTCCCGGTGTTAGTGTGAGGTTGGGGAGCTGAACCGACGGATTCCTGTCCCAATGTTTTATACTTTGAAGGTGTAAAACGCATGCTGAACATGGCTACAACAGCAATCAAACAATCTAGAAAAGCTGACATCTTATCTGGATATTCGCCCAATAGTACAATGTCCCTGGGTAGGCCAGATTAGCTTGCCACCTAGGAGCACACCGATACCGCTATTCTTGTGTGTGGGTAGGGCATCTTCCATATTCATAGTGATGACGGATATGATGGACATCGCCGCCAACGGTGAACATAGGCAAGATACGTTCGTGAGCTCTCACTTGGCTTTGGTTATTCGAATAGAGCAATGAAACACACTTATCTAGCACACCATTCAAGGAGACAGCAGGTAGTGCAGTCGACTCAAATAAAGGCTGCTTTTAACTAAAGGAATATATATATATATATACTTACTGTGAGTCATCAGAAGGAATCTCCGTGTTTCAGAGCACAGCAGTATGCACTACTGATGATACACAATAGGTACAAACTAGCTACCCAGCGTTCTTTTTCTTCCTCGGCACAGAAATTCACAACAAATCAAATGTATGAAGTGAGTGAAGAATGAACGAATACCCATGGAATGAGACCCACATAACAGGATCAATATACAGACTCAGAAGTCAAATCATTTGACTCAGCTAAAAAAAGAAAATATTTCGCTAAGCAAAGCCATCTGGTGCATTTCGAAAAAGAGATCAACTGTCTATTTATTTAGTTTGTGCAAAACCCGTGCTTTTAAGCTATCAGGTTTGATCGTCAAATGAGGAACATTAGCGACAAATCAGAAACGAAAAGTTTCTTCATTATTGATCTGGGGGTGATTTGCTATATACACAAACGATACTGCCAAAGATTCTCATTCAGTTATGAATGCACTCATTGTATGGGTCCAATGAGTGATCACCCGTTCATCTATCTTCCCAGGGGATAGGGAGGGCAATTCTACTGATTGGGACAGACTTACCTCGGCACTCATCAAAGTATTTGACCAAAGAATCATCATTTGCCCGATGATTATTGAATGTTTCACCGCCGCAACGAGGATCTCCTGTACGACAGTAACACTGGTTTCTCCACAGATCACATTCGTGTCGATAGGTGGTGCCATCCACGCAAAGCTGCAATGAATGCATGACAGATTGACAAGGGGCATTGTTAGGTCAACAGTAAGTCAGTAATGTTAACGAGGAAGCAAAAACTGGTAAACATATGTCATTCTGTAGTGAGGAGGAAACCAAGGCTTTACAATCCATGCAGTGATAAAGCCACGAGCGCTGTCATCGACAGACAAGCCCAGAACTCTGGGTAAAATTAATGCGCCTAGATCCGCGTGTGAGCACATCTCCATATCACATGAATTATCTCCGGTCAGGTTAGCCCAACTGTTGCTACAGCTCGGTTCTGAAGACGGGGACGCTAGTTCGATTTACAATCAGTGTGCCAATTGAAAACAGTCAAACTTTGTGAGAAAAATAATTGAACATTGAGGTCCATCAAATGCGACGCATCTTTTCCAGTAGTCATGAGTTATGGAGGATAATTCACAAATAACTCGCTAAAATTAAAAACACTGCATTTTTGAAATGCCAAATTAGTAACGGGTTTACGAAATGTGAATAACATTTCTTGGGGGTATGCTGTATTGCTGTTCTTCATCGAGCCGTAAGACCAAATCGATATAAACTATGCTGGTGGTAAAGTAATGAAGGCCCCTAATCACCAAACCCATTGATGATTGTTTGTCTAGAACACCCAACTACCAAAGAACACAATCAGATGCAAGTGGACGACCCTGAACCTTTGTTCATGCTTTGTGCATGTTACCGTAACTCTTGTAGCGGTCTACCCTCTGTTACAGGTATAAGGCCACAACGGAGACTATTTCGACGTC